GACTTTAAAAAGATAAATTTGTTAATTCCTACATATAAAATTTAGATTAAACACTGTAATTAATTTCCTATTTAATTGGTTCCTAATTATCCATAGGCAGGATGTTCATATTTGGTTTTTATTCATGTCCAAGAACTTTTTGTGCTAGGGAGAGAGCTCAGCAGCTTAACCGCCTGCCTGGCAAGCACAAGGTCCTGAGTTTGATCTCTAGTGCTGCAAGCGGTGCCAGCTCTAATACTGGGCGTGATGGTGCCCACCTGTAATCCTAGCACTGGAGAGGCTGAGAAAGGAGGATCACGAAGAGCCCGAACGGCATAGTGAGACCCTGTATCAAAAACAAACAAAGTAGTTTTTTGTGAATAGCATCCATCTCTCTCTCTCTCTCTCTCGCTCTCTCTCTCTCTCTCTGTCTTTCTCTGTGTCTCTCTCTCTATCTCTCTATCTATGTTAAACCAGAAACATTGATAAGTAGCACACTACCTCCATAAGTGAAGGACGAATAAAAATTTATAATTGACTTTCTTACCTTTGATGGGGCTCAGATAGATAGAGTTATGTATAACTATAAAAATAATTTTTGTGTAAAAATATATTCTTTGAGTCTTATTTAAAACTCAAAGTTTAGACTCTATTAGAAAATACATATTCGGGGGGGAAAGAAAATACATATTCATATTTTAAAATGGTGATTTGTTTTTATTTTTTGACTGATTTTCTGTCATTACTAAAACACTATGTAGTTTGTTTTCTTCATTTGCTGTATTTATTTGAAATAGATGCCCATGATCCATTTAGAGGAGAAAGAAGATATATGAAACCACAAGGAGGCAAAAACTCCAGATTAGCTGGCAAATCAAAATTGGAAAAAAATCATCTTAGTTTTAGAACAATAATCATTATGTAAAATGATTATTAAAGTAAAGCAACAAACTCATGAAGTATTTTCATCTCCAAACATTGTAATTATTTTACTAAAATCTGCAGTACAAATTTAAATCTTCTTAAACTATGAAGAGCCACTAAGAAGATAACAATATGCAATGTATTAATTATTGAAACTGTCCTATTAATTGGTTTTGAAATTATATCATTGCTGTTTCTCAATAAAATTAATTTTAAAAAAGCTTCTTAACTTTTAAACTATAATCTATGTAGTCCTAAATGTGAGCTACTCTTTTTTACTGAAGTAGCATCTTGCCGTGTTGCTTAGGCTCCACCTTGAGCTCAGGATTCTCCTGCCTTAGCCTCCTGGATAGCTGGGATGGCAGGAGTGCTCTACCATGCTTAGCTTGGAATGTTTTTTAATATATAAGAACTAAGTTCTCTTTTACCTATTTTCTTAAATTAGGGACAAAGATTTTTTTAAAAAATTATTTTAAAAGAACTTCTTACACTGACAAAGGATTGCAAACTGCAGTACAGGGTAACAGGATAAATCCTGAGGGGATTTGACTGACCTTGTCAAATACAAAAGATACATTTCTTGTTATACAGGTCTTGATTTATCTTGGCCTTAACCATCCAGCAGAAAAGTATAAAAATGAGGTATAAAAAGTAAAGCCATATTAATATGCTGAGCTGTGAAAGGCTCAAGTCAACAACTTCTGACATTGCCAGTCCTAAAGATAACCCACTACTGTTATGGACTACTGGACTATATTGGAATATTTTGCTGAATTCACACACCTACAATATTTAAATGGCAATGGAATACCCATCTCTGACAAAACTAAACAAAAAAAAAGGGGGATACAAAGGAAGGACCATTTTGTATCTGTATATACAAAATAGGATAGATATACAGCTACTTTCTCTTAATTTAGCGAGAAAGATTTGTACTAATAGTGTTTGGACAGGATATCATGTCTGCATCTTGTACTATGAAGAGCCACTAAGAAGATAACAATATGCAATGTATTAATTATTGAAACTGTCCTATTAATTGGTTTTGAAATTGTCTCATTGCTGTTTCTCAATAAAATTAATTTTAAAAAAGCTTCTTAACTTTTAAACTATAATCTAATGAAAACATTTTTCACAAGCATTGCTACAAAACTAGAGGACTGCTTTAGTAGTATATGAACCTGCTTTTTAAATCTTTTTGTTTTTTGTATTTTAGGGAAGAGTCTACAGGGTGTTCAAGGTCTCACTCTTAGATCGGATTCATAGTGATCCACCTGATTACAGCCTCCCAAGAGCTGGGATTACAGGCACACGCCACCATGCCCAGTCTCAACTGCCATCTCTGCTCACCCTGGGGGCAGGGCCAGCACAGCCAAGCGCTTTAATCCGCTGAGCTTTTTGGCTAGCCCCCTTTTCAGATCTTGAAATTTTAAAAATTATTTACATTAAGTCATGAAATTTGTTGTAATTATTATGAGGTGAATACTTTTTGACAGCTGATAAGTCTTCAGCTGCTGGGGATTGTATTCAGCAGAAGATCACTTGCCTGTTAGGTCCAAGCCCTGGGATGGCTCGTACCACTGCAAAAGCAAAACCAAAGCAAAAGTATATTCATGTAAGTTATAAAATGTGCTCCATTTTATTCACATTATCCTAAATTAAATGCGCTTTATAAAATTATATGAGAGTGTGAACAGAAAATATTTTAGGGAAGATTTTTCTTAAAGCACTAGAGATTAAAAAAGAAATAAAATATGGCCCTTACCCTGGAAGAGTTCGCTGTTAAACCAGCAAATGAAGTGCTCTCTGCTTTCTCGTGATTCGTTTCTTAACTAAGACACTAGCTCTGTAAGTGAAGGACTAATAAAAGTTTATAATTGGCTTTCTTGACCTCAACTGGCCAACCTAATAATATCTCACTCTTTGTGGACAAGAATTTTACAATTTTCTTGCCTTTGATGGGGCTCAGTGTGTCAGAATTGCAGGAAATAAAAACTGAACAGCCCCAGTGCTTCCTTTCAATCTAGAGTGGGACAAATGGAAGAGACTGCCCTGACTGTGCTGTGTGGGCCGGCTGGGGCTCAGAGCTCAAAGCGGCCTCCTTCAAAGCTAGCAGGACTTTGTGGTAGGCTTCAGAATGTTAGTCTTCTGTGAAACACTGTCTTCATGCCCTTTAGGCCTCGTGAAACCAATACAGGTGGCTAATTCATGAGGCTGTCGGAGAAGAAGCTCTCAGCACACACTGTCAACAGCATTTGCCCATTCATTCGCTAATTTCGCCTGTGATTTCACATATTTCCTCTTCTGGTCCTGATCTTTGAATAAATTTGAGTTTGCATGACTGCTGAGCGTAACCAGTCTTCTGTATTGCCAAGGGCAGTGCCACCTTTCTTCTGTTGTCATTCTTCCTCTCCTTCAGCCTACACCACTGCCCAAAACTTAGCTAAATGAGAAAGGATCCATACTTAGTATAGCTCCTATCAGTCTGCCTTACTTACCCTTAGCAGGGAATGGAGCCTGCATTCTGAACCTGGGCTTACTCCACTTCTTCGTTACATGCCAGACAGTTACATAGCATTAATGAACTTACTCTCAGCAATGAAGTGATTGCTGCTTTCTCATGATTTGTTTCTTAATCATTTCATCCCAAGACATGTTTTTATTTATTTTTTTAATTGAGAAATAAATAGGAATGAGACAGTTTCAAAGCTGATTAATAGGACAGTTTCGAAAATCAGTACTTTGTACATTGTTATTATCTTCGTGGTTATCCATAGAACAAGAAGCAGACAGGATTTCCTGTCCAAACACTATTAGTATACCTCTTCTCATTGAATTAAGTGAAAGCTGTATATTTATCCTATTTGTATATATAAATACAAAATGATCTTTCCTTTGTATCTCTCTTTTTTTTTTTTTGTTCTGTCAGAGGTGGATATTCTATTGGCATCTGAATACTATAGATGTTTGAATTCAGCTAAACAATCTAACACTGTCCAGCAGACTATAATAGTAGTGGGTTATCCTCAGAAGTTATTGACTTGAGCCTTTTACAGCTCATCGTATTAATATGGATTTACTTTATATACCTCGTTTTTATACTTTTCTGCTGGATGGTTAAGACCAAGATAAAGCAAGACCTATATAACAAGAAATGTAACTTTCGTATCTGATAAGGTCATCCAAGTACTCTCAGGATTTATCCTGTAACCCTGTACCGCACTTTGTAGATCCTTTGTCAGTGTCAGCCATGAGGATGTCACAGCCATTGCTTGACCAGTTTGCTCTCTGTGAAAGCCTGAGAAAATGTTTTTTTCTCTCCATGTGACTCTCCCCAGGCACACTATACATCATCGATCACATTCCTCTGTGGCTCCATAATCTTCTTGATCAGAACATTTGGAGCACAACTGAGTTACGTGTTGTTACAGTACAGGTTCTCCTATGTCCCGAGTCTTCACTGACCTTGCAAGGCTAGGGCCAAAATGTTGGCTGACCTTGCAGCCCTTCCTTTTCTCCACTTTTGATCTGCTAACTTAGGTTGTTAACCCTCCAGAAGAGAAGCTTATTATTAACCTGCAATATATGCAGTTCAGATTACCCTGTCTGTCTAAATATCAAACATCTTTGGCACATCATGGAACAGGTATTTTCCATCAAATATTGGTATGTTGAACTTTAAGTCCTTACAGAATATGAAGGAAAAATAATTTTATAAAAGTAGAAATAAGGGGCCGGGGACATGGCTCAGTAGGATAAGTGCTTGACTGGCAAACTCAAGGATCTGAGTTCAATCCCCGGTTCCGCCAAAAAAAAAAAAAAAAAAAAAAAAAAAAAAAAGTAGAAATAAGTATTAACATATTTTTACAAAGAAATTTAGAAATCTAACCGTATACAGAATTGTAACAGGACAGACCTGTGACTTTTTTTTCTTATTCTTGTGTCTTTTTTTTTTTTTTTTTCAATTACCCTTTAAAAAAAAAAAAAGCCTTTACTTGAGAGACAACCGAGACAGGTTCATGAAAAGTATAGGTGGTGTTTTCTTTTTTTTAATTTATTTATTTATCCATCTATCCATTTATGTGTGTGTGGCCAGCTCAGCCCACCAGGGGGCGGGCTGGCTGGCATGTGGTGCTGGGGGATCGAACCGCGGTTTCTGTGCTTCGCCAAGCTTGTTCCAAGTAGGTGCTTTAGACCACTGAGCCATCTCACCAGCCCCTAGGTGGTGGTTTCTAGTGTGTTCTGTTACCAACTTCAAAACCAACCCTCCCACCGCAGGTATACTCCCTGCAGTTATCGAGGGATGGAGGAGAGACTACCTCACGGCAGCACATCACGCCTGACGGACCACTCCCGGCACAGCAGTTCCCACCGGCTGAATGAACAGTCGCGGCACAGCAGCATCCGGGACCTCAGCAACAACCCTATGACGCACATCACACACGGCACCAGCATGAATCGGGTTATTGAAGAGGATGGAACCAGTGCTTAATGTGTCTTGTCTAAGAAAAAGTTGTACTACGTAAAAAGCAAATTTTGTTCTTTGCCTTTGCATGACTGATGGCTGTAACTAACTGTTATCCCGCTTTCAGTCAGGTGCAGCGTGTGTCCTTTGGGAAGGTAAATTTTTGCTTTTTGTATTGAATCAGACTTGGAACATCAAGACATCCAAAACACTAAGAATTATATCGTCACAGAAATAATCCTTTCTAGGTTGTGAAGAGATAATTATTTGTCTGGTAAACATTTTTATAAACCCACTTATTTTATATTTAGAAAAATCCTAAATGTGTGGTGATTACTTTGTAGTGAACTTTCATATACTATGAACTAGTTGTGAGAAGACATTCTGGTAGCTCTGTTAATAACACAAAGTTTCAGAATTAAAGAAATTTTCTATGCAAGGTTTATTTCTCAGATGAATAGCAGGACTTTGTAGTTTTATTTCCACTAAGAGAAAAAAGGAACTGTTTTTAAACTATAGGAGAATTTGATAAGTCAGCAAGGATATTTTCACTAATAGAATTTAAATCAGCAGAAGAATCTTATTAGTCTGGAGGTTCTGTCAAAATAAACTTCATTTGGAGATACTCAAGATTTGGTTTAGCAATGGAATAAAAGATGGGCATTTCCCCCCTATAATTGTGGTATTTTTACTTTTGTAAATATTACTTTTACTGGCTATTTTTATAACTCATCCGTATGCATGATGGGAAAATTTTAGTTTGTAGTCATCTTTTCCCAAGTTATACTATTGATTCATAGAAAACTTCATGTTCAGCTAAGCATCACACATTATAAGGCTTTTTGTGGTAACCACAAGCACACAGTGGTAAAATATTCTCTGTGTTCATTGTTGTACTTTTCTATAGTGACGTCAGTGACCTTGCCAAAGCCATTAGACCTTGGTTCCCACGCCCTCCTATAGTAAGCTGATTTTCTACACTTGCCAGTTGGCTGCAACTCTTGCCCCCCATCCCTGTTTTTAGTTTCTGGACTGTCCTTGTTTAAAGCTGAAATATATATCATCTAAGCCTAAAGTGGTGACTAATTTGGGTATTTGAAAACCACTGTAGCTAAATGGAGCATGTTTAGTCTTGTTATGAATATCTATTAATCTTAAAACTATCGAGTCAAAAAGTCTGACATTTTATCTTGTAATGTTTAAATAACTTACAATGTGGTGGTAAATTTTATGAGGCATGAAACTGATCAGAAAGAAAGAAAAATTCTGGAAAACACTGGATGTATTATGTAGAAAATGCAAGTGTTCCTGACTGCAGGTAAGAATCGCTTAGGAAAAGGTGCTGGAGTCAATTTAAAAGAGAAAAAGAACAACTTTCCTGATAATTCTATTTTGCAACCAGGCTTGAAACCTGTTGTTTTAAATCACTTGTCCTGCCTGGTGATGACCCAGTGGAATCCCATTATACTACGTGAAATTGAGCTGGATTCAATGATATGCTTGTACATCATTACCTAATACACAGTTGTTTTCTATGTTATTGTCCATTACAAAATGCAGAATTCTCAGCTCTACTCCTAGGGATTCTTATTCAATAAGCCAAAGGTGGTAGGACTTTAAAGTCTATATTTATAAAAAACAAACAAACAAAAAAAAAAACCCAGGTGATTCTTCTGCAGGTAATCCAGGAATCACATTAAGAAAAAATATTCTAGACTCGAAGGAGGCCTGGCTCTGCCATATGCTAGTTTTTGACTTTTAATAAGTCAGCCTTTCTGAGCCTGGGTCCCCTTGTTCGAAAATGAAGATGGAAGATAAATTTTTTACTCTACCTACCTCACGAAGTTGTCAAATTAATAAGGTCAAATGAAAACAATCATATGAAAGCTCATTTGAAAACTATAAAAGATTATGAAATATAAAGGATTCAGATTATTGATAATCTAAGAGGTTTATTTGAGGACCATTGTATATTTCTTGACATATGTTTAATTCATTTGTATATTTCTCTCTCACCCTTTTAAGAAAAAAGCTACGAAGGAATTAGGTGTCAAGGGAAAAAAGTTCTTTTCAGGCAGAAAAATCAGTTTTCTAATAGCCATAATTTATTTGTGTATCATGTTGTTTCCTTCAAACTATATAAATCTTAACATTAATTCCTCATAAACTATATCTGCACATTGGACTCAAAATGTTATTGTTTTTATTTGGTCTTTGTCTTTTTCCTTGGAATTGGAGTTAGCACTCAAATAGACAAGGTCTGAATTTCCTCATAACTAACAGTTAGTAAATCCTTTCCCTGAAGGCCCAAATTAGAACTCATTGATAAATAAGTCAATAATTCATGAAGCTTTCTGTCAGATAATCTTTCCTGAAACAGCATGAGAGAACCAAAACAAACCTCCATAAACAAGAAGTTAAAATAGAAGTTACCAGTTTGAGCTCAAAGATGTTGTCATCTATTACCATCTGCATTATATTATCAACTGCCAAAATGTTAATTGGTGTTCTTGTATAAGTGGGCCAAGTATAAACAGTTAAATGAATATTGCTATGAAAATCTTAACTTTATGCATCCAGATTTTATATATTTATTTGTATCTCTCTATTAAACAGATTGTTGGTGTATATGTGAATGCTGTATTGACCTTTCATAATATTTTAATTTTATTCTACAAAATTATAGAACATTGTTAATCCATTGTTTTAAGAAATAGTTTGGACCATATTATTATCCAGCTAGTGCTCTAAATTAAGAATTTTTTCTTTTTAAAGAGATCATAGAAAAACTATTAGCAAGGTAACAATATCAAAGTCTCAACTTGATCCAACCAGCTTGAACAAATCTGAACAGTTTTCTTGCCATGTCTTTGATTTGTGCTTAACATTTTGTTTGTACAGTTGACAACTAAGGAGACAGTAGGTTTTTTTCTAGGCTGTTAATGTATAATGTAAAAGTTTTTAAAAAGCACATCGCTTTTAGTAATACTGTTTTATCCAGGAATTAGGTAAAAAATCTAAGACAGTACTATGCTCAAAACAATAATTTGTTTCCAAAAAAAATCAACCCAACAACTAGCACAGAATTTGGCACATAGTAAGTTTTTCAGTAAGTATTTAAATTCATGAACAACTCATGTCATGCAGCTTAAATTTAAACTAAGTGAAGTGAGTTAGAAGTGCATAAATTATACCAAACGAAACTTATTTCTCCTAGAGTAATATTAGTTTTAATTAAAGAAGTATATGTACAACTGTGCCAAACTTTTAAATTAATTTTTAAAAGTAAGTAGTGAATCTTAGAAATAATTAAGTTCCTGTTAGCCTCATACTAAGTCAGAGCTCTGTGTACCATTTAAGTGAGTGAATATGCTAGCAAACCTTCCTGCTGCTTTTTAAAGCAGATTTATAAAAATTCTAAGAATCTCTTCAAATTAGAAAATTTCCCCACATTTTTATTTTATTTTATTTTTTCACATTTTTAACCTCTGCCATTAGAAGTAGTTATTTCCTACCTCATGGAAATAACTGAAATTGTACCCATTTTAGTTCAGGCTATCTCCATGAAATAAAAGTAATTCCAATTTGTCAGTGAAACAGCACATCATTGGCTAGAGTTTAGAAGACATTATTATGCCAAAATTTCATTATGGTAATTTTCATATTGCTTTTTGACATGCCAAAGATACATTTAGGTATAATCATATTTGGATGACTTACATAAGCTAACATAATAAAATTGCACTGGTCTTGGAATTTAAGGATCCATAATTGTGAGGTCAAGTGAACTGGTCACTTAATTTCTTATAGTCTCAATTTCTTCAGTATAGAATGAGTAGAAGGTAATTTTGGCCCAAACCTACCTCACTGGATGCTGTGAGGATCAAATGAGATAACATTTATAGTGTTCATAACCTATAAATTGTTGTACTGTTTTGGTTAGGATTTAAGGTGATTGTAGAAAACAAATTATGGTCTTTTGTACTATTTGGCTTATTATTGTTGTCTTGTTTTTGCTTTTGAGATGATGGGTCTCACTGTGTAGTGGAGGCTGGCCTTGAACTTGCATATGTAGCCCAGGCTGGCCTCTCAACACACAGGTGCTGGGATCACTGGCATGTGCTACCAACCCCACTCAAGTATTTACTTTTAGCAGTAACAATAAAATTGGCCATTAGGCCAATATTCATTTGGTCTAATCCTTAAATCAGTGATCCAGTTAACCTTTTATGAAAAAGTTTTTCAAGAACAGCTTTTCTTTCGAATTGTTTGGTTCTTTGATGCATGTTATATTATTATGTGCTCAAAATTTATAAGGTTGAATTTGGAGCCATTTCTAACAGAAATTTGGGAATCTCCATTAAATGTTTCATTTTATATGGAATTGTATAGGTACATTAGCTTGACATGACTGAAATTTATAAAACAATATAAAGAGGAAGGTAGGCCCTGTAACTTTTTTCTGAGTATTGCTAACTATGCATGTTACCTGATTCTTTCTGGTTGAGAGCAAGTTTTGGAAAGGTGATTATTGTAACTTGTTGGAATTAATCATCCTCAGACTGTTAAGTTTTAAGTTGTTGTCCTGAGAATGATTGTGTTTGTATATATGTGAATTTTTCTTCAAAATCTGTGTACCATTATTCACACATGAAGTATAGCATTTTTATAGGCTGAAGATTTGCAAAGGAACCCATGGTTTTTAAACTTTTTATCTTTCTTTTTTTTCTTTTTGTGGTACTGGGGATCAAATGTGGTTCTTTGAGCTTGCTAGGCAGGCGCTTACGCTGCTGAGCTCTCTCCCTGGCCTGATTTTAAAACTTTTTATGACCAAATAAAATGGGAAAAAGTTCACTATTTACATTTAATTCAGTTTTCTGTTGGTTATAGCATATTTTATGCTCTGTAGCTAATGGCAGTTTTCTATTAGCTATACAATTTCATACGTACTTATATGATTTTGATCTATTTTTATATGAAAATATATTGGCATCTCAGTGTAATTCTCTTCGTGTGTGTGTTTGTGTGTATGTGTGTTTTGCTTTTGTTCCCGTTATGATTTCTGGAATAGAAAGACTAAATTAATTCTTTACTTTCCATGTGATTATAATCATTTGTTTTTTGAATATTAACCCTATACTTCTTTCTTTAACGGTCATGTTAATATATTATACTTTCCCTCAGGATCCACATCTCTTAGGTAAGAAAATGTTAAGAATCTGTCCAGAACTAGTCATCATTGTAGACATTCTTATTTTGTTTTTGCTCTTATTTTGATACCAAGCAACAAACTCAGGGCCTCATGCTTGCAGGCAGGTGCTATAACACTGAACTATATCCCCAGCTTATTATTATTTATAATATTTTGTTGACTTGTAAAAATGTAATGTAAGTCAGTGTGATCTTAGAAGTAAGAAAGTAAAAGCTTTGTTGCTATAATGATAAAAGAAAGTAAAGTTCTCACTAATATTTTAATCAAACCCTAACCTAGTACAGTGTTGCTTCCTATAAAATAAACTAATTCAATCTGTGTAAATGCATTGAGGGATTATTTCCCTCACATTATTTTGTTATTATTTAAAAAATGAAGTTTTGATACAAAAAGCATTAGAAGGAATACAAAATTTCACTAACCAAAGTAACAGGAATTTAACAATGATTGCAATTTTACATGATGCTATCTTCAAATCAGTTGCTCAGGTTACCAAAAATAAACGTGCAAGATCTGTTTAAAGAAAAAAATAAAACAAAACAGTGACAAAAAAGTTTTAAGAAATTCAAAAGAAGAAAAAAAAAAAAAAAAAATTTAAAAAATAAACACCCCCTTCAAAAAAACAACAAAAAACAAACGGAAAAGTAACCAAAACAAAACAAAAAAAACCAAAAAAAAAAAATTTTCCCCTCCTTCAATTGCCTCAAAATAATTTTTTAAAAATAATTGCCTTTGTCTTTGTTACTTTTATGGATATTTTTGTTTATTCGATAGTATTGTTCATAATTTACTCTTACTTTAATGAGTATTATGCCAGTTCTCAAATAAGATTGTGCTTACCAGGGAAGCGCTTATTCTACTGAGCCATCTCCCCGGCCCTACCTTATATTTCTGAATTTTAAAAGTCACTGTTCCATTATTCTGCTAGTCACCATTAACCAGTAAAGTTATATTTTTAATTATTTATCAAGCTTGTTACATTTTTTGAAGTACACTTTAATAATAATAATAATAATAATATACAATATTATTATTAAGGTAGATAATAATTAAGTGATAATTATTATTTGATTGTGATTGTCACCCATAGGTTTTTTTCATGTAACAAACTTATATAACTTGCAAATATTTCCTTGTATTGTGCTTATTGACTTTTTATTTTTTAAGGTAGAGCTTAGTAGTTTCTGTTCTCTAAGTTGGAAAAGGTTTCTTTTTTTTCTTTTGCTTTTTTTTAGGGGGAGGGGTACTAGGAATCAAAATCAAACTCAGGATCTTGTTCTTGCAGTGCGGGTGCTTATGCTGCTGAGCTATATCCCCAGTCCTTGGGAAAGGTTTCTGAAGATTGGTAAATTGCATTCCATTATTTTAAAAGCGTACCAAGATTTTGAGTCAAGTAACGTTACATTTAGTCTTACCTCTCTTTTCAGTGAACTATAACTTAGACAAAGCATTTACCTCTTACAGCCTCTATTTTTTCATCTGTAAATGAAGGCAGTGAAGAAATTAGATTAGGTTATATCTCAGATTTCACCCAGCTCTAATTTGGTTCGCCTTTGATTATTTTATAATCATAATTCTGGGTTTACTTTTATTTTTGTTCTTCCCATGAAGTGTATTTATTAGATCAATGTGTACTTTTAGTGAAATTTAGACTTACCTTGATAGGATTCAGATATATTAACTTTGTTTTCCATCCATGACCTAAGTAATTTTTTAAAAAGGAAAATTATATTACAGATAATAAAAGTAAAGAGTTATAAATAAGGTCCTTGACCTTTAAAGATTTTGTCAGCACCTTAAATTGATACCCAGAAAAGAATAACATAAAACTTGGTGACCTTCGTTCTCTTGCATAAGAATATAGCTAGTTAGCCTAGATTTTACACAGAATGAATTCACTCAGGCTGGGTTCAGGGCAGTGGTAAAGCATTTGCCTGGCATGTGCAAGGCTCTGGGTTTGAGTCTAAGCAAAAAACAAATATATTCAAGATAATATTAATGAACGATTAAATGATAATACTGGCCCATTCCTTATTTAAAAACTATCAAGTTTTACCCAACATTAAAATAATTCTAAAATTTGAAAGAAATTATAGAGGAATTGATTGATGTTTTCTGTTACAGTTATTCTTAAACTGCATTTTTAGATTCTTTGAATAAATATAGTTACTGGGTTTTCATGGGCAAGTAAATGCCCTGATTAAAAATAGCTAGAAATAAATGCGCTTTGTTATTTTCTCTGGCTATTAGGATATGTTTCCAGAAAAGGCTCCTTAATTACTGTAAAGTGTTGAGATTCCACTGTTTGATCTTTTAGCAGTATTCTTTTGCAGGTAATAGTGTTCTCTGAGAAAAAGGCCAAAGAGCTTCATATTATTTTAAAGATTATTGTCTTCACTCTAATCATCTACATTAGCTCATCTCAATCTCTTGAACAGTCCAGTCTTTAGAGTTACAGTGTAGATTTTACATTTGAGGTCTCATGAGTACAGAGAATAGTGCAAAATTAAAATAGGATGGTGTACTAGCTTCTAAAATGATTTCTTTAGCTACATTTGTTTCCTTGTCTTACATCATTTCACTAGATCCTGTAACCCTCTTGGCTTCTAGAAATTAAATTAGATACCACCCTTTTAGTTCAGAGATGCCTAACCATTCATATGTCATATAGCAATGTTTCGGTTATGAACTGGCCACATCTATAACAGGCCCATAAGATTATATCCCCTAGTGACATCAGAGGCATGTTAGATCGTGAGTATACCCCGTGGTATTCACTCAAGGACAGAATTGCCTCATGATACATTTTGCAGACAGTGTCCACATTATAAACAACACATGACTATGTTGTCATGTAATTGAATGATTGTAAAAACAACAAATTTTCCATTTTCTGGCTTTGCAAGTCTTTGTTGTCATGTTTGTTAAATTTCTACCCAAGTCTAATTTCTTTGAGTATTTTCTGAGTTTTGATAATGAGATTCTACAAGACAAGACAAGTAACCCTAGGGTGATTTATATTCATCTATCCACCACTTTCCTATTTAGCCACACCTTCTCTCTTCAGTTTTGGAAAGGTAATTGACAGATGTCTTCCCTTATCCTTGCTTCAGATAAATTTTCCCTGAACTGATCTTGTCAACAGAAACATGAAATAATTTATTCCTGACAAGATTAATAAAGCAGTTCTTTTTATATTAAGATGAAGTGACTGCATACTTGAGAATAATAATGTAACTTCTTTGTTTGTGAACTTCAAATTTTAAAAATCATGAAAAGGACTCTCCAGTGTAAAAACATCAGTCCAGAAGTCTTTTGTCATCAGGTGCTATTTCAACTACAGCTGTGAGGCTAAATCTGAATGTTTTATCATCCATTGTTCTATAATACCTACCTTCTCTAGTGTAATCCTGTTTCATATGTCTTTAATACTAACTTCAAACAGTTTCTGCTTTTATTTTCAATTATCAAATTTTATTTTTTGAGTTCTCATTGAAGTTTAAAAGTACTGTTTATATGCAGGAGTGGTTACAGTTTGGACACACCCTTTGCAGGACGAAGACACCACCACCACTATCCTTTCCTCCAGATCTCAAAAGAAAAGTTGATTGTTGTATATGTTAGATGATCCAGCCTGCTCTCAGTACACAGCTCTCTTGTAGCTCATTTGTTCTGTCTGAGAATCAGGCGCAGGATGTTCTTGCTACAGGGCAATATTTCTGCATTATGTGAAATTGCTAGTTTTTTGGGTCAAAAGTGACCAAATATTAGCAATTCCATAACATCTATTCAAGAAACAATTAAACAAAAAATCTTTTAAAATAGACAGTCTAAGCTGTCATCCTAGGTCTTTTGATCAGCCTATTGGGGTTTATGAAAGAGACTCCCCAGAGAACCACAGTCTTCTCAAAACAGTTCTGCTTCATCTTATTGCTCAGTTCTCTTGATTTGCAGATACTTTGTCAAATTAAAATGATAATGTTTGAACATAAATTACATATAAGCCTTTCACTAAACCCATGTGTAGTTTTTAAGCTTAGGTGTTAGCATAGTAATCAAAGTACATTATTAGTCTGTAAGTATCACTTAGATGCAAAATAACTCCTCACTTCTAATGTCAACTCAAATTTTGCTAACTAAAGAATTTTATCCTCTTGGTAGACATTCTATAAAAGAATGGATAGTATGTTATATAGTCAATTTTCCATAAAATTTCACTTAAAAATTTTCTTTATGCTTATGTTTCATTATATAAGGATAAAAATATACAAATATTAAAATACTTATAAAAAGATGAAGCTCCTATTCAGGAAACTCAGTTTTCTGATATAAAAAGTTGTATATTAGGTTGTTCCAACTTTAGATTATATCTCCCATATAAATTGTATTGTGAATGACAGGGATAATAGCCAGCAAAAGCTAACTTAGTGCATAGTATACTCTAGAATTACTGTAGGGATCTGATGTTAGATTAAATTTTTACAGTGGAGAAAGCTTAACTTTCATCTCAGTGACTGTTTGGTCTACTTCTTCATGCAGTGTGTTTATGTTACCCCAGATGTGCCCACGTAGATACTCGTTCTGACCTGCTCCTCACCTGCTGTATCCCCAGAACTTTTCTGCCTGCCTTGTGTCCTTCCAAACTGTGGCTCATTTTACATGTTCAGAAACAGAAATTTGCATTAACCCATTCATATTAAAACCTTAGTAACTCTAGCCCTTTTTTCTCAGAGAAATCTGCATTAAAAACAAACATGTTGCTGTTGCCACGAATTAATCTCAATGAGCAAAAAATTAAACTTTAAAACAAAAGTGAAAAATATTTTGTTAGTGTTGGTAAGACTATTTTTGAGGCAAGAAATATCACAAAGTGACCTAACTTAGAAATCTGCCCCCTCACCCTGAAGCCATGTGATGCCTGAAGGTACTATACACTTGCAGTGACCTCAAAGAAGGGAGCGGGTCACTGTCTTTATGGGTCTTAGGAAATCAGGCTGCTGATGCTGATTTTTCCTTCAGTTGAGGTGGTGTCTGGTGCAAAATTTCACTCATCATACTCTTCTCAGACCGTGTTTGCGTCTCATTCTACCTCACCTCACTGCTAGGTCTCTCTTCCAGCTCTGTTCATTGGTAGGAAATTTACAGGTAAACTCTGTCCATGCTTGTAAAATAAAGCTCCCATTTTATTGTAGCGCCCAATTTGTCAAGAGATGTGAGGATAGGAAAGATAATCCTTTTTACTCTAAAGAATTATTTCTAAATAGCAGGTACTTAGCAATTTAGTTTTTTCAAATCCCATACTGAATTAAATTGCTGAGGTGACTATAAATTGGTTCTGGAATTTTGATTTTGCTTTGTCATATGAACATCTGCTTAATGTTTACACTAAAGACTTGTATTTTGTGGCATTGATTTCTCATGTTTCCTTTTATACATTTACTGAAGTTGTTCATTTTCAGATGAGTGGAAACGTTGCTGTTGTTGGGATCTGTATAGGGCAAGTGCACTTGGGTAGAGCATGAACTGTACTTCACACTAGCTGGATGTGCTTTGCACTCTGCTCCTGTAGATTTATTTTGTTTACAGTAGACTGATGTCAGTTTTTGTAAATGTCTTTTCTTAGCACTTTAACTGTGAGTGTACAAACTTTTAAATGTAGTGGTTGTATATTTTGGTTATAAACTGAAAGTTTTTAATAAAATTAAATAATTTTGTTCTCTTTTCTGTCCTTAGTATCTGATTGAATGTAATTTTCTTTGTCATCTTCCAATCTCAGTCTATTTAACATATTAACATTCCTATTTTTAAATTAGGGTTTATATTTTTATATTACTAAGTTATAAATTTTTTAAGAGAAAAAAATGCTTTTATTAATCACAACATGAAACTGACGTGAAATTTTTTAGAACTGAACCAAGACAACTAATGCTGTTATAAAA